ATCTGACCTCCAGTCAAGATTTAAGAAGTAAACTCCACCTCTGGACAGTGAAGGAGTCGATGGATGGGACTTTGGGAGGGGATAAAGGGTTAAAAGGCGAAACCTCCATTGTTTGGATGAGCACATGGTGGTAAAAATCCTTTGTTTCTGGTGCTGTAATATTTTCTATATTCAGTCTTCTGTTGTATTTTTTATAAGGTTTTAATAAACCTTTTAAATTTTTTGGAACTGAGTATCATTTCTCACACGTGTCTGTACGTGCACACATGTGTGTATAGTCATGTGTGCCCACTGGTGTCACCAGTGAATGGTTTGGGCACTTAAAGGTACTGGCAAAAAGCAGATTTTAATACAAATTTGTGAAAGTGCACCTTCAGGGAGTTGAATTATGATGTTCACCCTGTTGCTGACTACATGACTGTCATATGTATAGGAAAACCAGATTGGAATCCATTTAGGATGATTTACATGGAGGGGATTTCACCTTTAGTGAGGGTGCAAAAAGGTCAGGGTACAAAAAGGATAAGGGTGCAAAAGGGTCTAGCAGCACATAGTCATGGACTGATTTACCAATTAAACATTCAATAGCATTTTTTACATTTTAATGGTGGCTTACTAACAGACTCATGATAGCAGAATCAATTCACACACATTCAGAGATGTGCACATCTGTACTGATCTGTGCAGAGAAACCTGCCAAAAATGCCCCTTAGGTTCGGTGAAATATGTCACATCCCTTAGTGATTCTCAAAGGTGGGGATTGCACCCTGAGGGGTGCCGGGGGTGGGGGATTGGTAAGGGAACCAAAGAATGAAAACCAAATGAGCATTGAAGGCAAAGGGACCAACAACCAATAGGAGATCGAATACTAAGCATGGTGTAATTTAAGACCAGTGAAGGAGAATTTCTTTGGGCTTTTGTATGTATAAATATGTGACAAGTCTGCTAAAGATGCATGTGTGATGGAATGAATTGCACCGCACAACCTGGGCACGTGTGGATGAAATAATTTCTGTTTCACGTCCTGGCCAGGATAAAGTAATGCCTAAATTCTCTTTCCTATCAATTCCAAATTTCCATGCTGGCCATAACCCAGGTTGGGAACAATGGTACCATTCTACTCAAGTTAGAACTCAGGTAAATTATTTACCAAGGCTAACAGGGGTAACTGTTTCCTTTGTTCTCCATCTTGGTTGGTCACTGAAGACTCCTCCTGTTGGAACCCTGGCTGTGAGAATTTGGGATTTTATGTGCTGGCAGGCACTGACCCCCAAGAGAACACTGCACTGACCTGAGGCTGTGGAGAAGCTTCCAAAATGGAATGACAGAACTGGGATTGTGGGTGTGGAGTTTGAATAGAAGTGTGTAACATCACAGGGTGGAAAACTCAGAGTTTAAAGCTTTAGAATACAGTAATATCTATACAGCAAGATGGAGGTTTTAGGGTGGTGTCTGGTCCTTCTTCTTCACCTTCTTCTCCATGGGTTTGGGTGGTTTTGTGTAATTGGATTTAAAAGTCAACATTGTGGGCACAGGTGGTTGGTTATTGGGTTAAAAGTGAAAATAATTTAGGTGTCATTTCTTAATTGCACAGTTTATCCTTAAAAGGCCGTGTAGAGAGAGAGAGACAGGGCTACATTTTTAGTTTGTTGGAGTGAAGTGCTGTAGAACTCAGGGTTTGTGAGACTGTGACATAGATGAGAACTAATAAACATCTGAGTCCCAACAAGAAACCCCATCTCACACATTTAATCCCGACCCTGGCAGAAAACAAGAAGCAAAGACTCAGCATACTGTTACAATTAGAATTATTCCCACCTTTACTATGCTCTGGTACACTCAGGGACACTTAACCACCCAACTGGTACAGTCAAGGGGATGTTTAAGAACCTATAAATGAAACAACACACACTTTTGAGATAATATTTGTACAGCTGTTCTTTATTGGAGGCCTCCAGGAACAGTTATGGAAAAATGTTCACAAAACCCCATCCCCCATGGGGTGAGCACAGTTTTATAAGTGTACCAAATTAGCATAATTGACTAGAATTCCCAATTAGAAGCACAGGTGATGAAGTGGTTCAACCCTGTGATGGATTTTCACTGGCTGAACGCCAGCAGCAACAACAAACAGAACCAGAGACTCAGTGACAGCCAGGACCAGAGACCCACTGACGCAGAACTGCTGATCCAGAACCACAGATCCAGTTCCAGACCCACTGAGGCAGTCCTAGCGCCAGCCCCAGAGTCCCAGCCTCAGTCCCAGGCCCAGGCCCAGCTCCACAGTCCCACAGTCCCAATCCCATTCCCAATCCCATTCCTATTCCCAGTCTCAGTCCCAGTGCCAGTTCCAGTCCCAGGCCCTGTCCCAGTCCTAGTCCCAGTCCCACAGTCCCATTCCCATTCCCATTCCCATTCCCATTCCCATTCCCATTCCAAATCCCATTCCCATTCCCATTCCCAGTCCCATTCCCATTCCAAATCCCATTCCCATTCCCATTCCCAGTCCCAATCCCATTCCCATTCCCATTCCCAGTCCCAATCCCATTCCCATTCCCATTCCCAGTCCCAGTCCCAGTCCCGTTCCCATTCCCATTCCCATTCCCATTCCCAGTCCCAGTCCCAGTCCCATTCCCATTCCCATTCCCATTCCCATTCCCATTCCCAATCCCATTCCCATTCCCATTCCCATTCCCATTCCCATTCCCATTCCCAATCCCATTCCCATTCCCATTCCCATTCCCATTCCCAGTCCCATTCCCAGTCCCAGTCCCAGTCCCATTCCCAGTCCCAGTCCCATTCCCATTCCCATTCCCATTCCCATTCCCATTCCCATTCCCATTCCCATTCCCATTCCCAATCCCATTCCCATTCCCATTCCCATTCCCATTCCCATTCCCATTCCCAGTCCCATTCCCATTCCCAGCTCGGGCCCTTTCCCCTCCGCTGCAGTTCCGGCCGTGGCCGCCAGGGGCGCTGGCGGCTCCTGGCCGGGCGGGGCGGGAGCGGTGATTCCGCCGCGCCTGCAGGGGGCGCTGTGCCGTGAGCGCGGCCGCGGCTCCCTCAGGCGGAGAGGGAGAAGGGAATTCCTCACAAATTCCTCACAAACAGAGCCCTGGGGCAGGGCAGGGAGAGGGAGAAGGGAATTCCTCACAAATTCCTCACAAATTCCTCACAAACAGAGCCCTGGGGCAGGGCAGGGAGAGGGAGAAGGGAATTCCTCACAAATTCCTCACAAATTCCTCACAAATTCCTCACAAACAGAGCTCTGGGGCAGGGCAGAGAGAGGGAGAAGGGAATTCTTCACAAACAGCCCTGGGGCAGGGCCCGGTGCCCCTCAGGATGAGGAGGAGATGGAGAAGGGAATTCCTCCCAAATTCCTCACAAACACAGCCCTGGGGCAGGGCCCGGTGCCCCTCAGGATGGAGGTGGAGATGGAGAAGGGAATTCCTCACAAAATCCTCCCAAATTCCTCCCAAACAGCCCTGGGGCAGGGCCCGGTGCCCTCCATGGCGAGAGGGGCTCTGGCCGCAGCCTCGGAGCAGCGGTGGAGCGGCGCACCCGGCGTGGGGAACAAAATGTGGCAGAAACTCGGAGCCATGGGGTGCCCTGGCAGGCACGGGCTGCTGGGTTAAAGTGTGGTGAAAAACCCAGAGCAAGGGCAGAAAACAGCCGGGCTGGGCAGCGGCAGACAGGCTTCGCAAGCAGCTGCCATACGAAGCCGGGAGATGTTCGCTCTGCGAAGGGAGATGGGGTTGTGGTCCCCTTCCCAGTGAGGCTGGGTGTTGAAAGGTCCCCGTTCTTGCAAGCAGAATCTCACCCACAGTAAGAAGAAGCGGTGCAGGACAAAATCTGCACAGTTGCAGCAAATCCTCTGTGCAGCAACATTCCAGCACCAAAACTCGGCCTGTCTCCACTGTGATCCCAAGAGAGAGCACGAGAGAGCTGAGCTTCACCCCAATCCCCCAGCCAAAATCTTGCAGCATCTCTGCCCTTCTCAAGAGAAGCCCCCCAGCTGAGAGACTGTAGCAAACTACACCCCTTCCCTGGCCACTTTGTCCATATCTTTTGTCTCTCTTGAATATCTGTGTCTCACTTTGAGAGTTACCCCAGGACAATCCATGCTCCCATCTCTTAGGCAGCAAATGGGAGAAAAATTCCATGAGAGAAAGAAAATGAAAAGGAAAAATCCTAACCTCCGACACTGGGGAAAAGGGGAAGAGGGACTTCTGGCAAGTTTACTTTCAGCTTTTTTTCTTAAGATGCATCCATCTAAACAAACGTGCCTTTAATGGTTGGTTTACACATTCACACAAGACATGAGTTTAAGCATCTCTTTATTGCATAAGCACCAAAGAAGTCATTGCTCCCCTAGCAGCAGCAGAAAGCACATGAAAAAATAAACGTGGTTTTTCAGTGTTATCACCTCTCATTCATGCACTGTTTCTGAATCCAGCTTTCATTTGGAAAAACTAAACAGCAAAACATTTCCCTTCCCTAATAGCCTTTCCAACCCATCCTTTCCTCTCAGAACCGCTGCCTGCACTCTAGGCTGTGTTTGATTGACTTCCTCAAAGAAAGATAAGAAATGCTGTATTCCCTCAGGCCAAGTACCCGTATGTTTCAGTGCCCTATCCCTCATACCAGCCGGGAGCAGATGCTCAGATAAATTTAAGGAGTAATGTCACATTTCAGCATAGTTTTCTCTCTCTGTGGCAGTGATGTGTCTTAATCAGTGACTGTCTTGGTCATAAAGCAACATAATTCTGCATGTCTTACACAGTATTCATTAAACTTTTGTATTTTCTCACTACAGACACTCCAATAAGAATGGGAAAAAAAATAAAGGGGAGGGAGGAGAGGAGGAAGGGAGGGGTGAAGAAGAACAGAGAAAGATACTAAAGGAGAGAGAAATCCTTAATGCTGCTAAACCCTGGTAGGTCAACAAAATCTTGAGTCAGGATTATGCAAGTAAATCAAGACTGAAACTCCACCAGCAGTGGCTTGTTGCTACACCGGTTTTTATTAAGCTGTGAGCTGAAAGTTCTCTGTTTGCGTTGCAACAGTGTGAAGGCCTCCAGAGTTAGCACTAGACAGTGCCCACTCTGTCTTATCTGGCTTATACTGCTTTGAATTCCCCACACCCATGCATTTCCCTGGCCTCTCCATTCTCCACCTCTGGTGATCCTGCGGAGACAATCGACACTCGTGGAGCAATTTAGCAGCCCCTGACAAAGGAACTCAGGTCTTTGCCCCGGCAATGGTTTTTCCAGCCATACCTGAAAAAGCAAATACATTGTGTAACTTGAGGAGTTTGATTATGATTGAATTGGTTATGAAAACAGACTTGGTTAATCGTTGAGAGTCTTGGGTGAAGACTCTCAAAGATCTCTCTGAAAGATACAAATAAATGGAAATTATTATGAGCTCAATCTAAGCGAGCTGGGGGAAGGGGAAGAAAACAAAAAAGGAGAGCTCTGGGAGAGGAGGGCAATTTAGGGAATTAGAGCAGGTGCTGCTAGACAGGATTCCTATCTTCTCCTTTCCCAGAACTCTCCTTCTTTGGAGAGAAGAACCAAATCCACCAAATCCAGCTTCCCATCCATTGATCCCCCGGCCTCCCTCAGTCAATAGCAGGACTGTCTTTGATCTCCTCTGCCCACCCTTCCCCAGTGTCCACTGCAAATATCCTTACCAGGGACTGAGGCCATGAGCTTCGCGGGCAATCTTCTTGGCACACCGAATATCATCCCCAAGATTATCATCTTGCAGTTCTGTAGAGAAGGGAGAAAAGATCAGTGTGGAGGAAAGCAGGGCAGAGGAAGAGCATGGACAGACTGGCAGAAGGAAAGGTGTCCATCAGGAAGGGTAGGTGGGACACTGAGAAGATGGATGGAAGAAGGACAGATAGAAATGCCCAGAGCAGCTGCTAGGTGGGTGTCATGGACAGAGCAGGTGCTTTCATGGAATGAACAAAGACAGGTTCCTTGTTCTGTCCTGCCACTTACTTGAGCAACTGATTTTGCAGGCATTCTTGGATCCAGAGGTCTTGCCATCGTTGCACCAGTACTTGCTGTTGATCTGGAAGATGCCATAGTCCCTGCTTGGACCATTGTCATTGTACGCTTTTGTGTTATAATCACTCTCATGTTTCACCAGGCACATCCCTGCAGGAGGAAGAGAGATCCCAGAGGAGAGCATGAAGATATGCTGAGAGTAAATAAGAGGAAAGATATGACAATATTCAGGATGCATGAAGTGCTGGAGAAGTAATTAAACTGTAGATACCATAACCTTGAGAACAGGATGGGTAAATTCTTGGAAGGACAAAACTCGAGATGAGTATTTGTTATGTGAAATATAGAAGGGAGCAAGGAAGGGGATGAGGAAAAGATGAAGTCAAAGAAATGGAGGGACAGAATAGTACTGCTAGAAGATCAAAAAGAAGTTGAGAGGGACAGAGGTGGTACAGGCAGAGGGGTGCAGTGGCAGCTCATTATACTCACAGTCAGCAACAGTTGTGCCCTCGAAGCCCTGAAAGCCATTCTGACGTAGAATCTTCACCATCTCACATCTGGGAATTTTTTTTCCCTGGGTGCCTGGCAGAGCCAGGCCAAGGAAAACAAGAAAGCCAAGGAAGAGCATTGACTTTCTCATCTCGCACTCCACAGCTAGATGTGCCAAAGCAGTTTGAGCTGCCTGTCTGCCAGGACTGCCAGCAGTGCCAGCCTTTTATTCCTGCTCCCAGGGGGAGGATCAGCTGGTTAAGCAAGCATATCTGGGAAGTCTGGGCAGTCTTTACAGTAACAAGCCAATTAGGAAGTGGGCCAACCTCCAAAACAAATTCCTGGAAGGTGCCAGTACCTATTTCCCTGGTCCTTCAAGGCTGGGGTATATGTCTTCCCCAGACAACCCAGCAGTCCTCAGCTGGATATTATCCCAAATGTCATGGATCAAAAGCTGTAGTTCCCTTGTGTGAGCGTCATGGTTTAACCCCAGCAGTGTGATAGGTCACCCAATCTCTCCCACCCTAGTGGGATGGGAAAGGTAAAAGTTAGAAAACTTGTGGGTTGAGATACAGGCAGATTAATGGGGAAAGAAAAAGCCAGACATGCAAGAAAAAGCGAAATAGAGAGGTAACACACTCCTTCCCATCAGCAGGAAGATGTTCAGCCACCTCCAGGAAACCAGGCTCCAGCACATTAACACTGGTTCAGGAAAACAAACACCATCACTGTAAATGTTCCCCTCCTTCCTTTTTCTTCCTTCAGGTTTATACTTCAAGCAGGACACTATGTATGATCTGGGATATGCTGTGGTCAGTGGGGGTCAGATGTCTTGGCTGCATTCTCCATCATGGTCTAGGAATAATATTCCCTAATTTAGTACTCCCATTAAAAAGTCTACAAGCTGCTCCCCTCACCTTCTCCGATCCCACATTGAGATAAAAAGAATTTACTGGGAATGGCAATCAGTTAAGAATCAACCATGGAAAATGCCCTTGAATAGAACCTCCTGTGAAGGAGGTGAAGAAGGAGTAGCCAACTTTATGTTCCTAATTCATCTTCCTACTATCCCTTGTAAAACATTTCTGAAAAATAAACTCCATACAATAGAGAGAAACCTGATTTATTATGTTTTTGTTTGCATGGACTGTTTCTTACAAGCCATGGCTGATCACTGGACATTAACTTCATTAGTCACTACCTCAAGATGGCTGCCTTTGACATCAGTTTTCTTTCTCCTACTGCATGCATCAAAAAGCGTAAGAAAATAAGGATAAGAAAAAATCTTGAAAGGTAAAAGTAAAATGAGGCAATGGTAATCAAAGACATAATGCTAAGAAGATATGGCACAGCTGAGTAGCAGGAGTCTCTCATATTGGCGTGTCTGATGCTGAAATAGCAAAAAGTGACTGTGCTGGGTGTGGCTGAGGGAATTTCCCTCCCAGTGGCTGGCATGGGGCTGTATTTTGGATTTGTGCTGAATGTAGGGACAATAATGGAGATGTTTTTGTTATTGCTGAGCAGTGGTCACACAGAGATAAGGCCTTTTCTGCTTTTCATACTGCCTGGCTGGCAAGGGGGCTGGGAGGACACACAGCTGGGACAGATGACCCAGAGTGATCAAAGGCACGTTCCAGACCACACAACTTCATGCTCAGCACATAAAGTGGGGGGCAGAAGGAAGGAGGGGAGGGATGTTTGGAGTGATGTTTCTCTTCCCAAGTCACTGCTGTGTGGCCTGGAACCCTGCTCTCTGTGGGATGGCTGAACACCTGCCTGCCCTGGGAAACAGGGAGAGAATTTCTGGGTTTGCTTTGTTTGCACACGTGGCTTTTGCTTTCCATATTAAACTGTCAATCCCAACCCATGACCATCAACAACCATAAACAACCATCAACTCCAAACATAACACCTGATCTGGGAAAAGATAGATAAGAGATAGATAAGAATGAGGATCTAATTAGCATCGGAGTCCAAGAGATCTGTAACCATTAAGAAACCAAATACTACAGACTGTGTAAGCTGGAACCAATGAGCTTTGAACCAATGTATCTCTATGGGTTTTGACTGTATAAAGTTTGTGAAAAATCTGGTAAAATTCCCATATCATGGATTTTCTCTGCACAACCCAGGCTATGTGGATGAAATTATTTCTGTTGCACATCCTGGCCAGAACAACATCCTGTCCAGAATAAAGTAAGGCATTGATTCCCTAACACTAAAAATGTTGTTGGAGAGTTTTTGTTTTTCCCACGGTTTCAGTGATGACTGTGCTTTATTCTAGGCAAGTTTTTATTATTTCTGGGAACGGGATCTCCTTTGCTAAGGCACTTTTAGAATGTGTTGCCTAGAGACAGTTTGTTTAGTGTGAAATTTCAGTGCTTGGCTTTACACTTGAGTAAATGGTTCTGAAATGAGTGACAGGTATTATAAAATTTGAAAATAACTGTGAAATATGTATTTGTTATTTTATTTACCCTTGCATAGTCCAGAACTTGTTTCCATAACCCACTTTGTTTAAAAGGTTGGACTTTTTAAACAAATTTTTGCACAACTTTGTGACTTGAGATTCAGCTGTCAGATAAGAATTAAACTTGAAATCTTCAAGGAAATGAAAAAAAAAAAAAAAAAAAAAAAAAGCCTCACGTTCACAACAGTAGCTTTCCTGCATTATTTGAAGGAACAGTGAGAAATTTAACACCTGTAGCTTTTAGTTGCAGCAGGGTTCACTGCTCAGCTGTTCACTGCTCATTCTGTGCCATAGTTTGAAGTTGGCTTCCTTACTAGTTGCTGGTGCTTCCATGTAGGATTGCTTTACTTGTCTGATTCATAAGGGAGGTGACAGTGACACTTGTTAGAGCTTTTGCTGCCAGGGGTTTCCCCAGCAGCTCAGACCTGAAGCTCAGCTGGGTAGAGTGAGCTACTTCCATGTACTGGTCATGTGAAAGAATATTTTTCCCCTGAGTTGATTTTTTTTTTTTTTTTTTTTTTTTTTGCATGCTAAAAATGTTATTACCTCAGTTAAAAGTTCTTCCTTTTTTAAATTTGAAATGCTGGGTTAAGGGGAAGAATGAAGATAATGCCATAAATAAAATTGTTACCAGATGATAAATGGCCTACACCTGGTGAGCTGACACAAAGCTTGTTCCAGAATGCCTGGCCTATGGAAACTGCACAATGCCTGTTGTGTAAGAAGGAGAACTGGAAATTCACCGGCCTCAGTGTCCTGCCAACTCAGCCAGGTCACCTGGAACCTTGGGGTCCACAACTGTGCGAGTCCAGGGCTTCCCTCTGGCTGCCCTGGCAGGTCTGGGACCCTGGCAGGGGTCAGGAACCCCCTGGACCGAGCCTCCAGAGACACTGGCTGTGATCTCTGCCCATGGAAAAGAGTTTTCAATCTTACAGGATGAATTACCAGCTCTGAGTGTTTGATATAAGTAATCATTAAGTGTGGCACGGGTGCAAAAGTAAAATTTTTGGATTCCAGATTAAGAATTCAAAAGGAACAAGATAGAAGAAATTGAGTGTGTTTTTTCCTTTTTCTCCTTCTTCATGCCCTCCATGTTTCACTGTGCTGTTGGCATTTTTCTGTTGGTTCAGGCTGGGGACACACTGTCCAACGTAGGTGACAGATATTGGCACGTTATTGTAAATCCAGCACAGGTAGTTTGTGGTATTTAATGTTTGTACCATCCCACTGAGGGCAGAGCCCCACACGCTGCCCTGCAGGACAGAGCTGCGGCAGGGCAGCAGAACATGTTAGAGATAAACAGAATAAACAGCCTTGAAACCAGCACAGACCAATTATGGCTTCTGCTTTGGCAACGGGGCTGACAGACAGAGACTTTCTACAATCTCAGAATCATCAATACCTCAGATTCTGACACACAACCACCAGGGACCACCAGAGAGACCCCCAGGATAGAAGAATGAATGTGTAAAGGATTTTGGGGAAATCATACGTATGTTTAAAAAAATATATGTCTAAAAATCATATGTATAATCATATGTATCATATGATTATCATATGAATGTTTAGTCTGGGACAATCAATGAATATGTATAAAAAATACAGAATATAAACAGAAACTTTCCTGTACTCAGCATGCACAGCTTTGGGAGGATCTATCCCCCCGTGCATCTGGCTGAATAAAGAATGCTGCTTTTTAATGCTACATTGGTGTTAAGAAGTCTTTTTTTTTTACTGAATTTTTGCTAACAAAATAATTAAATTCTTGTCTTAAGTGACAATAAAGCAGCACGAGGTTGCTACAAAGGGGTTTGCAGAGAATTCCAAGCTAGAAGTCATATGCCATAAGTCCGATGAAGAGCAGCTGAGGGAGCTGGGACAGGGCTCAGCCTGGAGCAAAGGAGGCTCAGGGGGGACCTTGTGGCTCTGCACAGCTCCTGCCAGGAGGGGTTGGGCTGTGATCCCAGGGAACAGCGACAGGAGGAGAGGGAACAGCCTCAAGCTGTGCCAGGGGATGGTCAGGTTGGACATCAGGAGGAATTTCTCCACTGAAAGGGAGGTAAGGAGCTGCCCTGGGAGGTGGTAGAGTCCCCATCCTTTGCTTCCTTATTTACTGCTTACAGTTCTACTGGTCAAACAAAGGTTGAAGTACAATTCCCAGGGCCTATGGCTTTATTTGTTTTAGTCAACAATGCTAGGCTCTGGCACAAATTAGTCTCTCACTACACATCCATGGTCAAGGAGTAGATGTTTCCATGCATTCTGCCATTGTCTTAAACCCTGGACTTGTGGCTTCCACTCTGCTTCTGGAACAGGACTTGTATAGCACTGTGTCAGGGGTTTACAAGAGGTGGGTTGGAAACAATTGGTCATAGAATCATGGAACCATGGAACCATGGAACCCCTGACATGGAAGGGACCTCTACATTCCTTCTGTCCTGCCTACCCCTCCCAAAGAGCCTGTAACTGCCCAGAAGTAACTGGTGAGGAACTTTTGTGTAATGAACCTTCTCCTTCTGAGTGAAGAACTTTCTGGGTGAAGAAGCAGAACCCAGAATGTGGTCAGCTACTGGAAGAGGTTCCCCAGAGAATTGGCTACTGCCCCAAGTCAGCTGTCAGACATGTGGTGTGCTTGTTGGGGTGGTCCTATTCAGGGCCAGGAGTTGGACTTGATGATCCTTGTGGGTCCCCTCTAACTCAGCAGATTCTGATTCACCCAGAAGGTTTTTTTCACCCAGGAGGTTCTTTACCCAAATGGTTCTTCACTCAGAGGGTGGTTGGGCACTGGAACAGGCTTCCCAGAGAACTGGTCATGGCACTGAGGCAGCTGTCAGACACATGGTGTGGTTGTTGGGGCTGTCCTGTGCAGGGACAGGAGTTGGACTTGATGAACCTTGTGGATCCCTTTCAACAGAGGGGTTTCTATAATTCCTAATATCTTACCTAAAATTCACCTGACACAGTCCCACATGCATCCTCTAAAATCAACATTGGGTTGCCACATCATTCTCCCCGTTTCCCTTCTTCCCCCTGCCCTTTCTTCTTTATTTGTCTTGGCCCTGGGTTGAGGCTTTCTGGTTTTCCATCTTTCCGTGAACCTTCACTCGGTAAATGTATACCACGGGTTTCCCCAGTTGCTCTTCACAAGAAGTTTGACATGTGAAAAGGCTCTGGGGAGCAGCATGTTCTGGGAAGAGGGAAAAGGAGGGTGTTAAAATCAACAGAGAAATCAACATGTCTTACCCTGCCAACCCTGTTTCTGCTCAGGAACAAGCTCCCAAAAGAAGCTGGGAGAAGCAATAGGGATCTGAAGCTCACTGCTGGTACTAGGGCAGCTGGGGAGGCTGGGGGCAAGGGAAGGCACTTGGCATCTTCTGCAGGCTGGCCCAGCTGGGGCTGCTCCTCCTTTCCCTCCATCCCTTGCTCTGTGCTGACACGGGCTGAGGACGTGATCCTGGGCATGGGGCTGGTGTGTCATGCCACTGGTGTGTCACCCACTGGTGTGTCACCCACTGGTGTGTCAGTCACCCACTGGTGTGTCACCCACTGGTGTATTCAGTCACCCACTGGTGTGTCACCCCACTGAGCCCCTGCCATGCCCTCTGCCTGCCTTCCTCCTGGCAGACTGAGGGCAATGGGAGAGAAGGGGCATTCTGTGCAGGGGTAACACTGTCCAGCTTGTCAGCAGGGCACAGAGTGGAACAGCAGTGCTGTCTGATGGCTTTTGCCACCACTTGTCCCCGTTTCTTGGTGGCACAAGGTCTGTTTGCTGTTTGGGTGGTGTGGCTGCTTGTGCACCTCGCTTTTCTGAAGGCAGTGGCTGCAGCCAGGGATCTCTCAGGAGCTGTGTTGCCATGGGCCTGACCCTGTCCTTTGGCCACCACAACCACGTGCTACTCTGCCCTCCAAGCCCCACCAGGTCTCTTTCAGCAGCAATCCAGAACCCTCTGCCCAGGGAGGAAACATTTGTACCTTCCCAGCCACCGACTTACAAGAAAACCTGTTTGCTCTGTGGCCCCTGGCCCCCACGTGTTGAGCATACCTTCAGAGGGAAAGTCTGCGTGGGGTATTTTTCCACATTGTAGATGAACACCCCCAGGAGAGTTTCCTCTTCTCTGTCTGCATCCACTCCCCTGGAAGCAAAGCACAAGGAGAGCAAGCCGGGCTCATCCCAGCAAAGAGGGAATGGGCAGGCTGGACCAGCCCTCGTCTGTACCCAGCCTCCCCCAGGGCCCTGGCACTGGTTAGGGTAGAGCTCAGTCTCTGCCTTGCGCTTTGGCCAAGAACCCTTAGGTGCTTGGCCAGAAGGAGTCTTGGGAAGAATGCACCTCTCGAGCACAGCAGTGCTCAGAAGAGTGCAGGACACAAAGCTCAGGGGATGCACAAAAAGCAAGCAAGACCTGGCCCTGAGCTCCCGCCTGGGCCAGGCCCCCAGCAGAAGTGCCCAGCACACTTACAAAGATAGCAATGTCTTTGGGGGCACTGATGATGGTCCCACTTGGAGAGGCATCTTTGGAGATGTGCTGCACTGTGATGGCAGTCAGGTAGGCTCATGCTGGCAACTTGATGACAACCTGGCCCTGATGCCCTTTGAAAGCCCAGCAGTTTCCTGGGAAAACATTTGGCTGCAAAAGAATGCAACAGCAGTGATGTGTGGGTCAACACAACTACCCATGTAGCTTGAAGCACTGGGGCTGACATGTCTGTGGGCTCTATTTCAGCTTGAAAATAAGGGGCATGTGAGGAAATGGACAGAAGCAGAAGGACTTCCCTGCCTGCCAAAGTGGGCTCAGCGTGGCAGAACAGAGAATACTGGTTACAAAACCATCCTACTCAGGGGCAAGCAGAAACACCTCTGCCCAGGGACTCTGTAGGGCATCCCTCCTCCCACCTCCCACCCTGAAAAGCAGTTCTTGGGGTTGACAGTGGAGACAGGGTCACCAGATAGAAAGAAATCCTTTCACCCAGCTGTGGCCAAGGACTGTGAGTGGACTGCAGCAGTACAGCTCAGTTTGGCTCCACTCCCCTCTGGAGACGAACCACTGCTTCTCAGCAAGCCCAGCCCATGTTCCAGCTCTGGTTTCAGGAATCAAATCTACTGTGGGCTTCATCAGTACCACTGGGCTGAGGGGAGAGCCCCCAAGAATGGTTCCCAAATTCACAGGAGAGAAGAAAACTGGTGATTTCTGCTCAGATACCTGCAGAATAGTATCAGGAGGGCTGGCAGCCCAGAAGAAGCGTAAAATCCTGCAGAGAAAATTGTCTTTGCAGTCGTAGGTCTGGGAAGTTCATTGTGTGTCAATGGTGGCTCCTGTAAGGAAGGGAGGGCAAATGGCTGCAAGCAGCTAGAGACTGGCAGGGCTTGGTGCTCAGACACCATTTCTGGTGCCACTGGGCAGCTCCGTGTCTTGTCTGCATCACCCTGCCCTGGGGGGCAATGACAGCAGCCACATGCCTGGTGACTGCCTCTCCCACAGGGCTAAGAGAGCTGGGAGGAAGCAAAGCACAAGCCAGCCATTCCTTCTCCAGGTGCAGTGGGGAGGAAGAGACCCCCTCCATCCACACAGGAACGTTGTCATTTCTGTGCCATGCCCCCAGGAACGTGTGTGGAGGCAACCCCAGTCGTCCTCGTGGAGTCTGTGGGCAGGACACAGACAAGCACAGGGCAAAGAGACCGGGCTGCTCGTGTCCTTACCACAGCCCTTCAGGGCCCAGTCCATCTTGACACAGGGTTCCAAAGCCATCTGGCTCAATTCCTGGGAAAGCCACGAGCAAACAGGAAAGGACCACGTCAGTGGACAGCTCAGCATGCTGCCAGCACCCACAGAGGCAGAGCTCAGTGTCAGCCGTGCACGGCCAGCCCTGCCCGCAGAGCTGGCAAACTCTGCGCTGCTGACAGGAGCCATGAGGAACAGGGTCTGTGGCCACAACGTTCTGACCCCACCAACAATACCAAGGAGAGCTTTCTTAGGGCTTCTGCCCAGCCAAGCCTCTTTCCCAAAAATGGCAGGGTCACCTTCAAGCTACTGATCTCCACCCTAAGCTGAGTGACCTCTTCCAGCAGATTCTGCAACTTTTGGGTTTCAGTCAAAGTGTGTGAATTCCTGGAGGAACAGAAAAGCAGATCTTGTCAAAGCAGCCCATTCTTTCTGTGAAGCACCTGAGCCCACTGCTTTCCCTGCTCTGCCAGTGCTTCTTTCCAGCCCGAGCTGAGCAAAAGGCCAAGGCAGGACAAAAGGACAGGAGCCGTTGCTGTTTGGAAACTGAGCACAGGTAGCACAAGGTCAGCTGACACTTCTGCACAGACACAGCTCCAGTTCAGGAAATCTCTCTTACCAGAAGGTTTTCAGTTCTGCTGGAAATACACTTTGCAGCTTCTGAAAGAGAAAAACCTTGATTAGAACATCTACTGCCAGAGCCACCATGGCTTCCCAGGGCAGACTACACAATCTGCTTCTTCTTTGGGTCATGCTGTGTAGAAGCAGAAGAGCCTCAGATTTATCCAGCCACCATCAGCAGCACTCCCTTGCCAGAGGGGCCTGTCCCACAAGAGTCACTAACCTCCATGAGTCCCTTTGTCCACGGTGACCATTCTGACAGGGCAGTCCTGCAGAAAGCACCTGCAGTTCCCATCACCAGGCAGTCACTGGAGTGGGGCTTGCAGGGTTGTCTGCTCCCTGCTGCCTTGGGGGTCAGGCAGCAGGTTAGCTGAGGGGATGGAATGTGGGGTGCAGAGAGAGGATGTGCCTGTGACTGAGGGCTGTCAGCCCAGGCTCCAGGGACATGGCAGCATGGCCTGCAGTCATGCTCGCTGCCCCGGTTCTACTCCCTGTTTCACTTTAGTCAGCAGCAGGACCTGGCTGTAGGGGCTGGGAGAGGAACCTGCCCACCCGGCCCTTGCACCGCCCCTCCCCTCAGGGCATCCCCAGTTCAGCTGTGGAAATAACCTATGCCCTTCTCTCTCAACCTTGCAGCAAGCCGTTCAGTCCAGCGCCCAGAGCAGCAGCACGGCTGTGAGACTACCTGGGAGTCTTTGGGTGTCCACAAGCCAGTCAAGGGCACCCTCAGGGAGCACGAGGGCCACAGGAGTTTCCACACATAATGGCCCCGAAGGAAAACCTGCATCCAGCACAGCCAGGCTGTCACTCTCAGTTTTGGCTTGTGAAAACTCACCAAGAGCCACTGAGAGCAACACGATGAAGACTTTAAAGCTCTTCTTCAGCTGCACCATCTTTTCCCTGAAAGAGAGGGAGTCCTGGGGCTGTCAGTTACCAGGACTTAGGCAAATCCCTTCACAGCAAGGAAGCACAGGAGCTTTGCCTGACTTTGGTCCCAGAGCTCTGCTACACCTGCACGGTCTCTTGCCAGAGGTGGGGAAAACCCTTCCCCTGCAGATGCTTGGCTCTCCCCTGAGTGTTTGGCTATGCAGCCAAAGCTGGAGGCTGAGGATCTGGTGTGCCAGTGACTGTGGATATTCTCAGTTCAGTCAGAGAGAAAGCAGAGGGTTTCTGACCAGGCAGAAGCCTGGGAAACACTTGGGAAAGAAAGTAAATAGTTCTTTATCTCTCTTGTTGTTCACATTGTTTATAGATAAGTTCCGCCACTGAGTGTCATTCACTGCACCCCAATGGTGTGAGATGTTTTTACTCTGGGACCAATGGAATTGTTCTGGATGATGCTCTCTATAAAAGAGAGATGTATTTGACATAAATCAGAGTTTTACTCTCTCGCCTTCTGAACTGGAGTTCTTTCATACCGTCCTGCCTCAATGGCATCAAGTGACACTGCCAAGAGGCTTTGCTCTTGGCTCTGCCTGAGACTGGCCACAGCACAAGCAGTGCTCAAGCTTCATCATCCAAGTGAGAGCCCTGGGCTGCTGATTAGGGAACACCCTCTGCTCTCCCCTCTGCTTGCACTGGCCCTCAGACATTCCCATCCTGCCCCTTGTCCACAGTAGAAACATGTAGTGTCCACTCTGCGAGGATGGCATGGGCTCAGAAAATTTCAAAGGCACCTGCCAAATAAGCCTGAAGAACATCTCTCGGAAAAGAAACCAGAGCAAAGTTATGCCTGTCTCTTGAGTCTCTTCTCTTCCTCAGCTGGGGCCCATCCCCACAGGACTTCACACATCATGGGGCTGGTCTTCAGAAAACCTTTCAGCTTCCCCATGCTGCTCCAACCCACTGACAACCACATCCATCCTCCTGTTCCAACCTGACACCCTGGACAGGAGGAGCTCACTTCATACCAGCTCATTGGACACTTGCTGAGCTCCACAGTCACCTCTGCCAGTGGTTTGGAAGGCTCCAATTGTTTGTCTGGTGAGCCTTTCTCCTCCCCTTCCCTCTGCGCTCAGCTCTGCCTCCTCAGCTGCAGCAGGACATGATGTCTGCCCAGTGACAGCCACGCAGACACTCTGGGTTCTGTCCCCATGGCACAGGGCTGTGCAGGCACCTGCTCTGACCTCACAGCTGTGGGGGCTCTGCTTTCACAATTGGGGTGCCCAGGGCGATAGCCACATGGCAACCATGCATCTGTGCATCTCCATTATGGGTTGCAAAAGGCCCTGCTCGGAGGTCTGCCTTAAGGTTAGATGGTCCATCCCACCACCTGACTAGTAAGTTATCTATAAACAAGCAAAGGATGCTTGCAGAGGGCCAGAAAACTGCAATTACAGGATGGTTTGGATTGTGTGGTGGATGAGTAATGCAATGAGTGACTCTCACAATTAAAAGGCAAATATCATGTATATATGTTAAGAGAAGTTTTATAGGTTTATAGTTATGTTTTACCCCCTTGTGTTGTTATCAGGGGTGGCCTGGGTTTGGGACATTTGGGAGGGTGGGATTGTTACTATGGCAACAGCTGACCTCCAATCAGGATGTCAGGAAGTGATCTCCAGCACTGGACAGCGACGAAGGAGTCAATGGACAGAACTTTGGGAGGGGCTAAAGGGTTAAAAGGCAAAACCTCCATTGTGTGGGTGAGCACATGGTGGGAAAGATCTTCTGCTCCTGGTGCTGTAATATTTTCTCTATTCAGTCTTCTGTTGTATTTTTGATAAGGTTTTAATAAACCTTTTAAATGTTTTTGGAAGTATCATTTCTCACAGATTGGAAGGATGCTCCAATGTTCATGTCTGAACTCTGGAAATTATTACAATTCAGCCTCAGCAGCATCAGTGTCAGCAGGCACTTGTTCCTGAGGCCATGAGCTGGGCCCTATTCACCTTACAGTAATGGAACCACACACCATGGAGCATGTGAAGCCAAATTTCTTACAGCTTTGTGTGTGAAAGACAGACTTTTGTTGCCCAGTGAGTAATTCGGAAGTGATTTTCTGTTTAGAACAGCCATACCTTTCCTATCGGATTCTGTTATCTATAAAAGTATTGCTGTTGCCCTTGCTGGACAGAAGTATTAACTTGAGCTTGTTTCCTCTACCCAGTTGTTCCCACTATGCTCCAAGACTGTGGGAAATTTGTTACTAACTTCTGCCAAACTGTGCATAGTGCTGAAATAATTACCAGAGAGACTGGATGCACAAATAGTGCCATTGCATTCATCTTGTTTCCTGGAACTGCAAAATATCCTTAATATATAATTTCTGCTCCTTTTCCTCCTCCCAGCTTACCCTCAGTTGCATTGAGTGCTTTTTCCCTTACGGTTTATAGCCTGGGCAATACCACCCTGCTCAGACCCGCGTTGCATGCAAAATCCCCTTTGTTCTCCAAGAAAAGGGAACCACAAAGACATGGCCTCTGTCGCCTCCCTTTCACTTGCAAGTTATTTTGTGGTGATGGAGGGCAAAGTCCCTGGTACCCTCAGCACCTGATGGGTCCATGGTGCTGCTGTAAGGAAAGCAAAAAATGCCCAATGGACAAGCAAAGGAGATGTGCAGGAGGGCTGCAAGAAAGGGGCTCCCTTCACCCTTCAGGCCTCCTACTGGTACACCTCTGGTGAGAAAGTGAGAGGACCTGGCTTTGCCAAACACAACCACAGCAGCTGGAACAGACCCACCTGGCATTTCTGATGGGCCATCCAGCAAAACAGGCTCATGTATGCCCCACAGTCTCACATAACTGAAGAAAGCACCAAAAAGCCAGGTGGGAGCCCAAGTCCTTTGCCTAAAGCCAATAAGAGCTGTCATTTCTGCTTAGTAACTCCAGCTGCTGTTTGGAAACCTGGAAACCAGTGTGGCAGGACTTCCCCCAGCACAGGAGAGCTGGTCTGGTCTGTCCATCAGCTGGTGCCATAGCTTGGGCATTGTCCTCCCATCACAGGAACTGGTGAGAGAACCAGGCTGGCCTGTCTGACTGCTGAGCTGCCCCTGGCTGGTGAGCGAGCTCTTTCTCTCTCTCTGGCACCAGGGGAGGAACTCCCAGTGGACAATTCTTGGGGTCTGTGGTGTCAAGGTGACCCCAAGATTGTACAAGTCTTTTTCTCCCAGCCCATGAAGCCAAAGGAGTCAGAATGTGCAGGGTCAGCTTCCCAAGGTTGTTTCTTTTCCTTATCTAGAATATTCTTTCTCTGACCTGCTGAGCTCTGTCCAGCAGGTCGGCCATGGCATTGTGTCTGCCCTAAGGGCGGTGTTTGCATTTTATACCAAAAACTACCTGTACTATATTTACAATAATGTGCCAATATCTATCATTTATGTTGGACAGTGTGTCTCTACCTTAAACCAACAGAAAAGTGTCACCATCACAGCAAGATAAGGAGGGCAAGAAGAAGGAGAAGTAGGTCAGGACACAATCAAATTCCTCCATCTTGTCCCCCTGAACCCCATTCTAAAAAGCCCCAAAATTCTACTTTTTCACCCTGTGTTAATTTAACTATCACACTAGTCAAACCCTTGTGGCTTGTAATTCCTCATACAGAGTTGGCAGTTTTTTCCACAGGCTAAAATCGAAGCCAGAGATGTTTTTGACTTCATGCCAAGGTGTCTGAGCCCCCTGCCAGGGTCTGGGGACAGCCAGGGCAGCCACGGGGATGTCCTGGGTTCCAACAGACAATGAACAACTGGGCTTGAGAACAAGATATGGGGATATAAGCTGGAATTTCTGACTGGCAGACACTTCACTTTACAAACTATAAAAGCTGCACAAACTTTCATGGAGGCAGAAGTCTACTACTTACACCTTGGAAATGTGAAGGATTTCTCTCCAGAGTTTGATGCAAATTCCAGAGGTATTTTCCCAGGAACTGAGCTGAAAGGACCTTATGTTTGTTCCATCATCAATTCCATTCTAAGTTACATTGACTCCTAATCTATACTATTTCTTCACTAGCTGTAATATAGGTACCTTTTTATCTACTAGCAGTTGGTTTTGTTTCATCCTGTGTAGTAAGCAGACCTTTTAAAGTCTGAAGTCTGTTAATCTTGTGTCTATTCAATAAATAATTCATTTTGTAATAGACCTAATTCACCATTCTTAAGAACTTGCAAGTGAGAGACATTTGGGGTGCAAGCCACCTCAAACAGAGCTACTGCCAGAAATCTGAGTCAAAGGCAGGACTTGTCTAAGCTCTCGTCTCCATTTGTCACAACCAGTCATGTGCTGACACTGGATTTTGTAATTAGAAGAAAACTCTCCTGTCTATTAAAAAAAAAAAAAAAAAAGTTTCAAATATAGGAACATAACCAGTGACAGAGAGAGATGGTAACTGAGGCCCCAGGACAAAATATTTATTTTATAAATATTGCTGTGATGCCTCTTATGGATACACTTGACCCCATCAGCTGTACTTTGGATCAGGCCAGCTATGGAGCAACGGGTCCCACGCCCTGTGGTGGATTTGGGAGCTGGAATGCTCCTGGCTTAGGTACAAGGAAGTGAAGGTGCCTTGTAAAAATATTTTTAATGTGGTTTCAAAGCCCAGAAGTGGAAAATAACTAAGGTACAGAAGAAGATAACAGAGCGAAAACAAAGACATCTATCTTCTCTAAACTATTGACTAGCAGCCAAAAATTTCACTCTAATAAATATTGCCATCAGGGTAAGGCAAATTTGAGCTGCCCCTGAGTGGCAGCTGGACTGCATACCAGTGACTCTCCCCTTGAACTGGAGCACCACTCAAGGTTTCAGATCCCTTGCCTGAAAATAAGAGGTCCTTCCATGCCCAAGGCAGAGAGATTCCTTAGTTGCAACAGATCCTCAGTAAGTGACTGATGGCATGTTGAATTAATTTAAAAAGTCCATGTAGCTGTTCAGTATTAACTACTATAAATTTTATATAGATAATTCCATTAAACATAAAGCATTGTCATAATCTGAGGCTAAGATTAGACCTAGCTGAATCCAGGCTTTGTGTGGAGGTTAGAAAGCACAGGGGTCCATTCTGAACCCCTTGCAACAGTCTTCCTCACCCTCTGAACCTTCCTTAGGGAGCTGGGCTCTTGTGCTTCCCTTTCCTCTTCTCCCTCCTCAGCTCTGGCCAGCTGAAGAACATAAACTCCCAAATAGTTTGGGTTAGAAGAGACCTGGGAGACTGTGGGATTATGCCTTTTTCTGACCAAGAGATGGGGTAACTGAGAGGCATTTTAAAAACTTTTATTCCATTTTTCAATCTCATGAGAAGGGTGAGACAATACAGATGTTATAATTTACACCATCACAATCAGAAGCAAACTATTTCCTAATTAGAAAACATTATAAGCATTTCGTGGCCTATCAGCTTTTGCTGCACCATGCTGTAAATGCTTTGAAGTAAATAATGTAAAATTACCCCTCCTGGGTCCTACTACAATGCTTCTTTTTTAGTTCTGTTTCTCCAAAGTATCCAGTCTTATTTGCAAGGCCGTCCTTTGAAACTAGTTTTATTTCTCTCTCAGCAATGTCTGTCCTATTCCATGTGAAACTTCTTTCAGGCTTTGAGAATTCTCTACAAATCCATTTCCCACAGGAGCCCATCCTGTTCCACCTCTGCCATGCAGGGACACCTCCCACTATCTCAGGCTGCTCCAAGCCCTTCCAGCCTGGCCTTGGGCACTGCCAGGGATGGGGCAGCCACAGCTGCTCTGGGCACCTGTGCCAGGGCCTCATCTCTCTCACAGGGAGGAATTTCTTGCTAATATTCAATTTAAATCTACCATCTTTCAGCTTAAAGCTGTTCCCCCTTGTCCACTCTGTCCTTGTCCAAAGTCCAGCTCTCTTGCTGGCTTCCTTCTCCTAAAAGTTTTCTTGGTCATCTCATCTTTCTGCCTTCCAGGTAAGTAGATTATCTTAACAGGGTAAGCATGGCACTGGTAAGCAAATATTTAAACTGTCATTTTAAAGATAAGAATTAAGAGGGAGGGCAGGAAATGACAGCTAAATGGCAAATAAAACTTTAATTTAGTGCTTAAACAACTTGAGTCTTTATGCTGTACCTGCAGCAGAGGGCTGACACTTGT